ACAGAGGGAGGACTCAGCTAGCGGAAATTTAGAGTCACCATTCTTCTGAAATAAAAATTTAGGGCAATCCTATGGAGTGGGCCATATTATAGTAACAGGATGGAGCTGAGACAGAGCACACACTTCTAGAATGCGAAAGTGAAGTTCAATACTTTTCTGAACACAATTCTTAGATAATAGAGGCATTAATTAAAACCAGCCTCTTGCAGCACACACACGACAAACAGTGGATCTGCACTCAGCAGATAAGTGGGCTTTCCTGCAAAGCCAGAGGAAATCTCATCTGTGCCTTCTCCAGCCTATCAAGTCATCTGAGCTCTTAGAGATAACTAAGTGATATTGCAGTGGAAACAGTAATGTAGTGGCCAACAGTGTTTGTTTCAAATGCTTTTATTTGCTTTATTTTTATTTTTATTTTTTTATTTTATTTTTTAAATTAAATGTATTGGGGTGACATTGGTTAATAAGATTATATAGGTTTCAGGTGTACATTTCTATGCTACATGATCTGTATAATAAATTGTGTGCTCACAACCCAAAGTCAAATAATTTTCCATCGCCACATATTTGGCCCCCTTTACCCTTTCCTACCTCCTCACCTCCTTCCCTCTGGTAACCACCATATTGTTGTCTGTTTCTATGACTTTCAGTTTTATATCCCACAGATGGGTAACATCAGGTTGTTCTTAGATTTTTCTTATTGACCTCTTTTGCTTAGCATAATATTCTCCAAGTCCATCCATCTCGTCCCAAAAGGCACTATTTCATCTTTTCTTAAGGCTGAGTAGTATTTCATCTTGTATATATATCACATCTTCTTTATCCAATCCTCCATTGCACGACACTTTGGTTGTTTCCATGTCTTGGTCACTGTGAATAATGCTGCAATGAACATAGGGGTGCATATATATATCTTTGTGAATAAATGTTTTCAGATTTTTCAGGTAGATACCCAGAAGAGGGATTATTGGGTCATATGGTAACTCTATTCTTAATTTTTTGAGGAACCTCCACACTGTTTTCCATACTGGCTTTACCAGTTTACATTCTTGCCAACAGTGAATGAGCATCCCTATTTCTCCACAACCTGCCCTGGCCCACCTGGCTACAAAGCAATCTGCAGATGGCTGCTGCTAGTGCTAGGCCTGGGGCCACTTAGCCAGAGGCGAGAGGTATGCCAAGGCCAACTCTGTCCCCAACTTGTGTGGGGGATGTCTCAGGGAATCACAGGGCAGGGTGAGCAGTGTTAGCCAGGTTGGTGGAGACTCAGGTATGGCACCCACCTGCTTGTTCGGTGAGGGGAGGGCTCAGAAAAGGAACGATGGCCTCTGACGCCATTTCTGCCTGGGAGGAAGCTGCCCCTCCACCTCTAGCCCTGATTCCAGACAATTCAGTTCTTCCCCATATGTCTCTGGTGCCTTTCAAGCTGCTGCCCAGTGCTGCAGCTCAGAGTAAATGAGTCTGAGTAAGTCTGTGCATGGGCCCTTTAAGAGGAATGCCTGGGACTCTAGTGGCCTCTGTGTCACTCAGCCACAATCTCTGCTAAATTTTATAGCCAGAAGCTATGGAGACTTCTCTTTCTGGCACTGGAACATTGGGCTAGGGGTTCTGGTGTGGGGCTGGAACCCCTCACTCCTCGGGGGCAACCTTTGCAGCTGAGATATCCCTCCTGATTTTTATCTGCCACATGTAAGTGTGGGACCAGCCTGTTCCACCTCTCCTCTCCTCCTACCAGTGTCAATGTGGCTTCTTCTTTATATCCTTAGTTGTGGGACTTCTGTTCTGCTAAATTTCAGGTGGTTCTGCATGATGGTGGTTCTGTACTTTAGTTGTAATTTTGATGAGGTTGTGGGAGGAGGCAAGTTCCTCATGTATTTACACTGCCACCTTGACCGGAAGCACCCTTTAGGGGTTTATGTTAGTGTAATGACTAAGGTTGAATATTCTGGATTCATTAATCAAAGGGATCAATGAGGATTTTCCAAAATTGTTGATCAGACCTTGAATGTCTCTCTGCCCTGTATGCTATCTAGGAATTTTCAGCATACACTCCTCAGTAATTCTTTGCTTGGTTTCATGGCATTTCACCCTAAGTATACATACAGCTTAATATCTCATTAACAGATAGATACAAAGTCAGCTATACATGCAGGGTTTTTTGAGGATTTTTTTGTGTGTTTTTTTCTACGTTGTTCTCTCCTGTCTGGTGCTGTGCTCTGAAAATTCCAGCTACCTTAGTTTCCTTGCTCCAACCTATGTCTTCTCAACTCAGAGTGATTATCAAGTTCTACTTAGGGGCCCTCTTCTATGCAGCTAGTCTCAAGTATGTCAAAGTTGGGTATTCAGCTTGGCTTGTGTGGCTCAGTGGTTGAGTGCCAATCCAGGCACCAGGAGGTGGAAGGTTTGATTCCTGGGCAGGGCATTACCTGGGTTGTGCCCCAGTAGTGAGCGTGCAGGGGGCAGCAGATTGATGTTTCTCTCTCATCCATGTTTCTATCCCTCTCTCCCTCTCCATTCTTTTCTCTCTAAAAATCAATAAAAACATATATTCTTTAGAAGAGTTGGGTATTCATAGAGATCATATTTATTTTGTTCTCTCTTCTTAGGGATCACAATCCAACTCTACCTTTGTCCATTGAAATAGTTATTCAGTGTTATAACAGTTTATAGTGGGATGATAAATCTGTTTTTAACTATAGCCAGGAGCATGATGATATAACCCCTTTTTATAGATAAGTAAACTTAGATTAGAAAGACTAAGTAGCATAGTGATGAAGACAGGGGCTTGGGATTTAGGTTGGAATTCAAATTTTTGCTATTTACTAGTTATACAACCTTGGGTAACTAGCTTTCTATCTTGGTTTCCATGTCTTTAAAATAGATATGCTTATGATAATAATGGCGATAATGATAATAAAAATAATAATATAATATTAGAAATTCTCCCTTGCCATTATTGTGATGATTAACCAACATGGTGAATGTGAAGTTTTTAGCATAGTGCTTGGCACATAGTGAGCCTTAGATATGATGGTATTCGCTAACTAACAATATTATCCATGACCGCTTTGGTAGAATCCTGGCTTCAAGTTCAGGAATGCAATATTGATGAACAAGACAGATGTTTTTCCATAACTTACCAAAGCTGGGTTTCCTTTTAAAAGTATCTAGAACAGAAAATAGGTATATTCGGGCCCTTGGGAAAAATCCTCTTGAAGCAATGACAACGTATACTCATTTAATGGAAAATGACAAGTCTTGTTTGTGTTTGTGGGGAAATTTTTAAGGGAAGATCTCTGGATAATCCATCACAAAGTATTAGTTCAGGGTATCTATCATTTAATTAATCACAATGATGGATATCTTTAATATTAGGCAAAAATTAACAGTTTCATAGTCTTGAGACTATCATTACTCAAAACATAACTTCTAAAAGACATACCCAGTTTTCTTTTTAGGATCCCATAACAACTTGAATGATCATAAATAGAGTTCAACTGAGGAAAATCAGGGAAAGCTAGGGGGTTCATTGTTAAAGGTTCTCTAATGTCATGAGTTGATTCTCATGAACTTAAGTATGTCAGGCAGACAAGAAATAAAACACAGATTTGTCAGAAATGTAATGGGATATTTCAGCTCAGCAAGGGGAATTTAGAAGTCTTTCTCTGCTGGCTGATCACAGCCAGTGTGTCAGCCAACAATATCCTCTTACTTTCACATAACAACATTTAGTTAATTAGCTCTTGTTTATGTTTGGACTATTGATAGACTTAAATTATATTCAAATTGTCATGCAGAGCAAACACAGAAAAGTTTGCCTTTGATCTAAATACAGCCATTCCTTTTCTGCAGCGACATTTGAACTGTATATGAGAATAAAAAGCTTATAACAAGTGAGGCATAAAAAGTAGACAATTTAAATCAGATACTTAAAAAAAATCTAATTAATGATAATAGTGGCTTAAAACCTATCTCAATAGAAGTTTAAGTTGATTTATAAAAATGCAGACATTACCTCTGAGATTGATGCTACAAAATGCCATTAATGTCTCTGCAAATTCCTCAATCTTCTTATCACTTTGACTTTTTAAAGATTTAATGCTATAGTTGTTAGTATAAAACATATTCTTTAAGTATAATTCTTGAACTAGAATGAATTTTATTCTTTCATGACCATTAAAAAGCTTTCTCTTTTCCCAATCATTGTAAATTCTTCCAACAATTCTTATGAAAAGTCAAGAAGATGGTTTTTCTAGACACCAGAATAACATATCACTTGCAGTAATTTAAATTGCAGAAGAGTTTGTTTCTCTGCAGTACATTCTGTGTAATACGGCTTCTGCTGAGTAGCTCAGTGAAGCATCCTAGGGGTATTTGGATATTTTTCTCCTGAAGACAAATGCTCTATGATTGGCATGCTCTAGCCCATCTCACCAGTTTAAAAGACTTAGGTTAGAGTTAAGCATGGACAGAACATCTCTCAGGTATGTATTAGAAATCCTTGCTCTCTTCTCTTCCCTCTTACTTTCCTTTTCACCTCCAAATTCCCTGTCTTTCTTCCCAAAGAAACATAAAGTGACACCAATTAGAAATATAGATATGCTTGTTGTTGTCTTGGTGTCTAGGCATCAGGAAGCTAAAACCAAGATGATTATTTATATACTCCTTAAAGTTGAAATTTTTTAAAAACATTGCAACAAAAAACTTTTAAAAGGCAGTTCTATATACACTGTTCTGATTCTACTACACTGTCCTCACATCACTAAGATGATTTAGCAGCAAAATCAGCTAAGGTAATCATAAAAGTTAACGAGCTGCCACTGGCAGCTTATTAGTTCCAGAGTTTTCCACAGAACTGCAACCAACAGGACATTTTGATTGCATGTGTCCAAGAAGTGGTCAAGGCCTATCAGTCAGCTTTCAGCAGAAGAATGTGCTCCTGATGGGGTAGCAGCTATTATCAATTTTTTTTTTTTTTTAGGAAAGGGATACACAAAGAATAATATAACAATTATGTATTTATGAAGTGTTCATTTAACAATGATTGTTAGAACAAATCATTCCATTTCTAAAAGAAATAAAAAATGCACAGAGATAGCATTAACTGAAAAGGTTATGAAAAACTCTCAATCCTGTTTATCTTCTTAATGAATGCAGTACAGAGTGTCATAAATGCCCTTACATCCTTATTACATAGTGTGAATTACAAATAGAAAAACCAAAGAAATGGTATGACTTACCTCTAACAGGGTCTGATACGTGAATCCTTTGTCCCTCACTTATTACAGATGCCTTTCATTACAGAGTTCCCATAATCTAATAATCAACCCCCAATTTTTCATAATCATGAAAAGACAATACCTTTGACATTTTCACAGTCATGTTATACTTTAGTGTATTGAATATAGTAAATATTTATTAAAAGTAACACATGAAAATATGAATAAAATATCTTTATGTACAAAGTGGCGCATCATGATTTCTACCTAATATTTAATAATACACTTGCAAGTGTTCCCTGCATTAACATAGTGGAAAACAATAAATACAAACATTAGGTAATAGAAGAACACCAAGGAAGTAGGAAAGTCCCCATGGATAAAAATTGTGGGTTCTGGAAACTTCAAACTTGAGGGAAGATCATGTCATCAGTGAACTCACATGCCTGGGCTGTCAGGTTAATAGATCACAAATGCCTTTCCTAAAATGTGTTCTCCTGAGAATGTTCCTGTATAATGTACAAATGAGACCCAGGATTTTATTGATTCTATCAGATTATTGCATGTCATCTGGACATCGCTTTCTTGGGATAGGCGACTGGTATAGACTGGCGAGCAGGATTGGAAGTCAGGATTCATTCCACAGGGCTTTCTCTCTTTCTACTCCTGGATCATAGAAGCTGAAGATTAAGCCTGTAGGGAAAATAAAAGTTCAGATTCCAAAAGAGTGAAGAAGTAGGGATGGTGGATGTTGGAGGAGATGATGTTAGTGACTAGCTGAATTTTTTCCGCCCAGTAGAGTCATTTGAAACTGAACCTATCTGAAAGAAAAACCACTATACTTCCTTCCAAGCCTGTTCCCTCTCATTCCATGATTCCCATCTTTATTATTACTCCCATGATCCATCCAGGCACTCACACTAACCGTGTGGACATCATATATAGTCATAATCTTCCTCATTACCCACTGCCCACATTCAATCAATCACCACCTCTGGAGAATCTTATTTGCCAGACATTTCCTTATCCATTCTGTCTCTTTATCCCATCTCCCCTGTCCCTGTAGATGTGGGAAAGTCCTGTCCTTCTTCTAAATAATACTGCAATAGTCTTCTGACTTCTCTGCTCACAGTCTCACTCCTTTTGAATTAACAAAAGTTAATTTTCACAGTAAACATCGGTGTGTGTCCCAAGCACAAATCTCATCACATTCCTCTTCTGATTAAAACTCTTAACTGTACCCTACCACTAACGGGACATAATTCAAGGTCTGTTGCTTGCGGTGACAATGTGAGTAATTAAGAAATGTATTGGCAACTTTCATTCTTCTTCTAGTAAGTAGAGAGAATGAAACAGGAAACTCTCCATTTCTCCGTCACAGGAAGGAGAGCCAGGGCTTTGCTCCATCACTTTGGGGCAGAAATATCTTTCTCTATTGTTCCAAAAAGGAGCAGGAGATGGAGGTTTCCATGCCTCAGGTGGGAAAGGCGCAGTGGCCCGTCCTGGCAGGGCTAGATGTTTGCTGCAGTGGCAGTGCTGGGGCTTGCTGGAGTCTGGGCGGATGATATGGTGGGGGCGGGGTGGGCAGTAGAGCTGGGGTGGAGACTACCCTACTCTTTCATGGCATGGTTGGCAGAGGCAGGGTCTTAGATCGGGACGGTGGCACTGTTGCCTTGCATGGGGGAAAGCTGGCCACTGGCTGCCATGGCTGGGATGGGGGCAGTTTGAAGGGCATAGAGAGGCCCTAGGATCTATGTCAAGCCTTAGTGTGTAGGAAGGACAGTAGAACAGGGTATTTCTGATGTTCCCCAGAGCATCTGTGGCTGACATAGGGTCCAGCACACACCAGAGCGTGGTGCAGCTCTAGAAGGAGCACGGAGATTATAAGGAGGACTGTGGAACAGACTCTTCCTCTCAAATTTTGGATGGATTTCCTGGGTGTGGTGTACATCCAAGGTCAGAAGATCTCCCAAATGAATAAATGACTTCTTGATGACATTAATGAAGGAAGAAAGTATCTGATTTTATCCTGCTTACAAAAAGAAGGTATTTCATTCTTGTCTTGTGAAGCCTTTAATGGTTTACTATGGTAAACAGGACCTCCCATGATCTGGTGCCCTCTTCTGCTCCAGCCTCTTTTCCTAGCCCTCCGGCATTGAACTATATCCTCTGGGCAAGTGCTTCTCAAGCGATCTATGGTGAAGTCTAGGCTTTGTTTTTAATTTCTAATAAGATGCCAACTGATATTAAAAATACAATAACATGAGTAGAATGTTGCAGCAATGTCAGATTGCTCTAAATTTCTTTTTTTAAAAAAATGCTCACACTCAGTTTCTGTTCTTGATCTTGTTGTGGAACAGTATCAATGGTTCCCTGATCCAACAGCAGATGCTCACAGTGCAGCTCTTGGCCAACCAATTATTTATAATTTACTTCATACACCATGCAGCTTCACAGTTCCTTTGTATTTGTGCATGCTATTCCCTGTGCCCAGAAAAACCTAGATCCCTTTTTCTCTTATCCTGGAAGTCTCAGACCAAATATCATCTTCTTTAAAAAAAAACCTGCCATTAAACTTCAAGGTGCCATGTTTATCTTTACATACCACTATCTTATTATTTACCATATTATATTAAAGTGGTCTTCCTTATACTTATTTCTCTCCACTTCTATAAGCTTCTTGAGGACAGTAACCATGTCCTATCCCCCTTTATACCTGGCCTAGTACTAGGCAAGGAGTAAAATCATGGTCACCTTTTGTTCAACTGAACATGCTCCTCCGTAGGTGAGTTTCCAAGTGAAGTCAAGAGTCTGCAGCATAGATCAGCTAGTCAAACATTTGGATTTATGTGAGTAGGATAATGCTCGTGATTAATATTGTACTGACCAATTTTTTCAAAGATCAGGAACCAATGTAAGAACAAACTGAGGTTTTTATCAGAGTGTATTTCTTATTCATTATCTTTCCCATGAAAAATATCTTCTTCATTAATGATTTTTTTTTGTTGGTTAATAATTTGCTTCCTTTCTAGCATTATAATCCTTTTAAATTTCAGTGTGTAAGCTTTAATAATAATAATACAGGACTTAATAATCACTGAATCTCTTACAACCTTAAAATTTCATAAATTTGTGATTCTTACAAAGAATAAATGGTCATGATATCATGATAGATTTCATGATAGATTTTTTAAGAATATTGACAACACTTCATAAACAAAAAAGCACAATGGTTTTAGAGAAAATATTGTTTTATCCTGGTTTTACAGACTTGGAACCCAGTGCAATGATGAATCCAATTTATACTTTCAAATGCGATGCATGAAATTATTTGCTTCACTAGAATGATTTTTTAAAATTACAAAAATCTTCAAGTAAATTGAAGGTTACATGTTTTTTGGTCTTTGTTCACATTTTTTTATTAGTAATAGTATAAGAATCCTCAATATAATTTTATGTTACCATTTCTATTCCCTCCTCCATAAATTGTCTGTTCATGGCCTTTGCTTACTTTTTTATTTCCCAATATGTATACAACATATTTGTATGTTTAGAATATTAATTAACTGGTGCCATATTTAGACATTTCTGCAATTTGTTTGTTTTGTCTTATAATTTTCTTTACAATACTGTTTTTTTAATATTTCAAAGTTTTAAGTCATGTTATAGTAGAATTTTTATCTTTTCCATTGAATTTTCTTATGTTTTATGTTTTGAAAATTCTTAATCAGACACCTAAAGCGTACTTAAGTTTTCTTCTTCCCTCTTTCCCTTCTTCTCTCCCTCCCTCCCTCCCTTCTTTCTTTCTTTCCTTTCTTTTTTTTCTTTCTTTTTGCATTTAGTTCTTGATACATTTTCTCCATAGAGATATTACTAGCTACTGTCCCCACTTCCACAGTTATTATTGACCAATTTGTTCAGACCCTTTGTTGGCATCAATAAGAAAGAGATGTGCTTAGTTCGTTTCACATTTTGGCATAGAAATTCTAACCTTAGCAGAAGTTCTGTATAACAATAAATCAATTCCTTTAGCAATGTCATCTTTGCTACTTCTTGTAGCAAAGAGAATTAATCTCAGAAGAAGATAACAGAGCACATTTGCATTGTAAACACAAATATGTATAGAAATGTACAGAGCTACATATCTCTAATCTTTGATTTCAGTGGCCTTCAAAATTTAACACAAATTATTTTTGTACTAATAGCTATTTTGACAGTGGTCCCAGCTATTGTTTAACTGAACCACGCTCCTCTGTAGGTGAGCTTCCAAGTAAAGTCAAGAGTTTGCAGCATAGATCAGTTAGGTAAACATCTGGATTTATGTGAGAAGGATAATGCTCATGATTAATATTGCATTGAACATTTTTTTCAAAGATCTGCAACCAATATAGCAACAAACAAGTGTTTTATTAGAATGTCTGTAACAGCATTGTATTAGTGGCTGGGCATGAGACCTGGATAGTGGACACAGCAATGACATTCTCCTCCCTAGACAATACCCAGTGTGATGCCATCTTGGTCAGGCCAATTATGGGCATATAGATATTTTTGTTCTTTTTAAAAAAATATTCATTGTCAAAGAGCAAATTCTTTTGCAGGTTCTGAAAAGCATCAAACACTAATTGTGAGGGCACTTCATCAGTGCTTCCTATGAAAATGAAATTAGAAGAAAATCTTCTTAGCTAATTCTAGGAAAGCAAAACAATCCCGTGCTAAACTGGGACAGTTAATTCCAGCAGGCCTAAAATTGGTGAGCAGTTTTAATGAAATAAGAAATGTACCTGCTTTGCACTGATTCCTGGTCAAAGCATGGAGCTTGCAGAATAACAGTGTTGCTGGTAACCAGAGTTTTGAAAGGTTTCAATTATTTATTGATTACCTATCATTGTAGTGAAATTGATCATCTGCAAAAGGTCTGATTGAAGCACCTGAAGGGCTCTGTCCCTCAGCTAGTTATATGCCAGGAAATTTCTTACATGATGCTGAATATAAGAAACCCCAGGTGAAGCTGCATTTTGGATCACCTTGTTTGAGGTGCTCTGTGCACATGTCCATGGTTCCTGGGCTCAGGGAGGAAGTACATCCTGGTACAGTTCTTACAGAGGGACAATCAGACCTCCACGCTGGCTTCCCTGGATTTCATGCCCTGAGCCAGCCTTTGGCTGTGATGCACATCCTAACTTTAATGCACCTATTGTATCATAACCTTTGGCAGCAAACTACACATTTGTAAGCATTGTCATTTTGAGTCCTGCAAGTCTTCAATAGCCATATAACCCTGGCTGACTGCCACTGGCAGTGTGTATAGTGACCCAGGTAAAGGCAAACTGCAATTAGAAGGAAACATTACCAGCAGGCAGGAACTGCGTCATTCCTGAGGGAGGCAGGGCAACTGGAAGCATTTTTTACAGCCCCCAAGTCATTCATCGCTCCGGCAGATCATTTTAGTGTTTGTTTTGAGACAAATAGACATTGATGGTTTCACTGGCACAAACCACTAACTTGTTGCCTTATAAAAGTCTTTAGAAATAATCTAAGATGCAGCAGGCTAACAAAACAGATATTAATGAGTATCTCAGTGAATGAAATTAGGAAACTTACATATTTACTGACTAGGTGTGGGAGGATCCATCAAGCTGTCAGTTTTTGTTTTTTCCTTGTGCAGAGCGTTCACCTAAGAACAGAAGATATGA